CTGAAGGTGTTCATTGTAGGCTGAAAGGTATATCTGGCTTAATCACTGATGCAACTGATATTTTATAGAGGGACTTTAAATTTGTTGCAAGTACAATATGACATATTATGTAATCAGCTGACCAGGAAGAACATTCACTAGCTTACTGTGATAGTGTGTGCTTTCCCACAATGTAAAGGAAACAAAGAACAATATTCATTTCCTTCTGAGTACTTCATAAATGTGCCATGATCAGCTGAATTGAAAATGATATGACTTTTAAGATTCACCAGTGTTCACTAAATGCTAATCATTCTGCAGGTTTTGTTGGGAAATCTATCTTGTCATATTTCACAAAGCCAACTAAATGACTGTCCAAATGAAGCATTGTCATCTCATTTACTGGTTTCATGCGAAAAACAATCTATTTTTGACAACCCATGTTTGTTGTAAAAGGCGATTAACGGGTTGGGTGGTCAGGCTCGTTGACTCATCATCGTATCCCAATTGCGTAGATCGGTGCTCATGTTGTTGATCACTGTATTGTCTGGTGCTGACTGGTCGAATATTTACAGACTGCCACCAAAACTAAACTCACTCTATTTTTGAGACACAGTAGATTGCCATGCATCTTGGCAACTCGACAACTGAGCTACATGAATCTCTCTACATAGTAGCGTAGTGATTAACATTTATCTCATGGTAGATCATGTCAACATGGTTGAATGGTGATTATCACTGATATCCTCGTGCAGTGTGTAGGTCATGTATTCATGGTAGTCTTGTGATTGTCACGGATATCTTTGTGTAGGTCATGTATTCATGGTAGTCTTGTGATTGTCATGGATATCTTTGTGTATTCATGTGTCACGGATATGTGTCATGTATTCATGGTAGTCTTGTGATTGTCACGGATATGTGTGTAGGTCATGTATTCCTGGTAGTCTTGTGATTGTCACGGATATCTTTGGTAGTATCTTATTCTTTGTGATTGTCACGGATATCTTTGTGTAGGTCATGTATTCAAGGTAGTCTTGTGATTGTCACGGATATATGTGTGTAGGTCATGTATTCCTGGTAGTCTTGTGATTGTCACGGATATCTTTGTGTAGGTCATCTATTCATGGTAGTCTTGTGATTGTCACGGATATCTTTGTGTAGGTCATGTATTCATGGTATTCTTGTGATTGTCACGGATATGTGTGTGTAGGTCATGTATTCAAGGTATTCTTGTGATTGTCACGGATATGTGTGTGTAGGTCATGTATTCCTGGTAGTCTTGTGATTGTCACGGATATGTGTATAGGTCATGTATTCCTGGTAGTCTTGTGATTGTCACGGATATGTTTGTGTAGGTCATGTATTCCTGGTAGTCTTGTGATTGTCACGGATGTGTGTGTAGGTCATGTATTCCTGGTAGTCTTGTGATTGTCACTGATATGTGTGTGTAGGTCATGTATTCCTGGTAGTCTTGTGATTGTCACAGATATCTTTGTGTAGGTCATGTATTCATGGTAGTCTTGTGATTGTCACGAATATCTTTATGTAGGTCATGTATTCAATGTAGTCTTGTGATTGTCACAGATATGTTTGTGTAGGTCATGTATTCCTGGTAGTCTTGTGATTGTCACGGATATGTGTGTGTAGGTCATGTATTCAATGTAGTCTTGTGATTGTCACTGATATGTGTGTGTAGGTCATGAAAGTTAATGTTGGTACATCACGAAGCAGGAAGTTTGTGTTGACAGCTGGTGTAAAGGCTTGTTTCTCTATCAGACGATCAATAGCACCACATTGTTATTCTTATTATCCACATGCATTTGCAATGTAACGTATTTCACACTGCTAAAACAAGATTAACTGACAGGTTATGTTACGGTATTTGCATCATAACCTACTTTATGCTGCATAAACAAGAGTAAATGACTGAGAACATGTTGCGTTATTGTCCCCCGCCGCAACGCGGAAGGGGGGACTATGTATTCAGCCGTGTCAGTACGTCCCGATTCTTGTTAACGCGATATCTCATGAACTGTTGTACCCAATGTCTTCAAATTTGGGGATATCCTACATTGGGGGATAACCCAGACACCAGTCAATTTGGGTGATCTTGACCTTATTTTCAAGATAACCACGACACTTTGACCACTTTTCAAACTCTTGTTAACTCGACATCTCCTGGACTGTTGTACCCAATGTCTTCAAATTTGGTGACAGCCTACATTGGGGGATTACGCAGACACCAGTTGATTTTGGCGACCTTGACCTTATGTTCAAGGTCACCACAACACTTTGACCACTTTTCAAACTTATTTAAATGCGATATCTCATAAAATATTGCAAAAATGTTTTCAATTGTGTCGACAGCCTACATTGGGTGATTATGCAGACTCCAGTCATTTCAGGCATCTTGTATGTGACCAAAAATAAAAACTAGTAAATATAGATATTCCATTCTGTAGTAGCGGGGGACATTGCCATATCAGTGGCAAACACTTGTTTCATTATAACCTACTTTATGCTGCTTACACAACAGTCAATGACTGAGACAATGTTACGTCATTTGCGTTATAACCTACTTTATGCTGCTTACACAAAAGTCAATGACTGAGACAGTGTTACGTTATTTGCGTTATAACCTACTTTATGCTGCTTACACAACAGTCAATGACTGAGACAATGTAACGTTATTTGCATTATAACCTACTTTATGCTGCTTACACAACAGTCAAGGACTGAGACAATGTTACGTTATTTGCGTTATAACCTACTTTATGCTGCTTACACAACAGTCAATGACTGAGACAATGTTACGTTATTTGCTTTATAACTTACTTTATGCTGCTTACACAACAGTCAATGACTGAGACAGTGTTACGTTATTTGCGTTATAACTTACTTTATGCTGCTTACACAACAGTCAATGACTGAGACAATGTTACGTTATTTGCTTTATAACTTACTTTATGCTGCTTACACAACAGTCAATGACTGAGACAATGTTACGTTATTTGCATTATAACCTACTTTATGCTTTATACAAGTATACCCATGTTGAACTAAGATTAAATTATCCCTGTCAGCAACCATGTAGTTTCAACGCAGGATTAATTGGTGACAATACACATCCCGCCGACTCCTTGCCATGCGCCGGATTAGACAGCGCTGATTACTGTATAAACACATATTCGGGCGGCTCATTTGATAGCGAGATCCGGAATTGACAGCTGCCGGATTGCAGAGCTTTTAAATGATGAAACATGTACTAGCCACGGATAGGACAGATTTTATGCCGGTGTTGACAACTTGCCGGATTGGACAGCTGCCGGTTTTGACAGCTTCCACTGTATATAGTTCAGCCAGTGTTATCAGTATAACCTTCACTCTTGATAAAGGACAGTTGGACAACCGGTATGGTCTGCTGGGTCAAGTGTCTGACCGGACAGCTTGGGTCAGTGGTTTCTTCCCCTGCCACATCATACTAAAACATGTTCAAAGATGGTACTCCTTTCCCTGTCTGGCATACAGCAAGTAGGTTTTCATGATGTTACTTTCATTTCCTCTTGTTTGTTTGACTTAAAGGTCATATTAATGGTTAAGTGTTGCCTTTGGTATTAGCACAGTTCATTATTAGTAGATGGATCTCTTAAATGGATCTAGTATGAACAGTAAGTAAGTGAGGTACGTGGACCAGAAATCCTGATAATGAATATATGTTGGAGACTTTCTCTTTTGATGGTCTGTTGCTTCAGGTTTCTGTGGGGGGTTCTGTTGACCCAGTCCTCTGAGGCACAGCCATTGTGCAGTGTTGCTTTCCTTAGGCATATCAATAATCCTTGATCATGTTTTTGAATCCCAGATTGTCCTGATTATGTCTTTAGGCTTGTTAGAAGCCTGCCTGAGGTTGTCACAAAAGTGGTATCTGTATAAGACCTGCGTCACTTCTGACTCTCCTCCCACTTCAAACTGACATTCTGTAATACCAGTAAACATGCTAATGCACTATTAAGTGCAGGGTAACGACTCGAGAGAGGTCGATATTCAGCTCCAGTCTGCAGCAAAGATAATAATTCCCATATTGGAATTTCACAGTACCATTCCAGATTCTGTTCTTTGCTTGCCCAAAAAACAGTGGGACCCGTTCCATACTTCACCCACAAAAGGACAGCCTATCAGAAAATCTCATGGCCATTCAGGATAATACGCATGATACATGACATAAATGTTTATCAGGCCATTTCCTTTGAAACACACAAGATGTATACTTCGTTTCTTGGTAAATACCGACTGGTATATCTTTAGGAGTATCTGTTTCTTCATGACTAGAAATCTTATCCTGGACTCACTCCTGACCGCCATCTTGTCATGTTTTTATCCAGAGCCATGAAAAATGCTACTTGAAATTTGATTGGCTAGTACTGGCAATATGGACCAATCATTGAGCTGCATGGATGCACCCACATTTTTGGTCCAAACCAGCAAAACATCCCACATTTTTGGACTCCATCCGTCCATCACATTTGTCTTTTCCGAAGAACTCTAAAACACTATTTCTTCAACCAAACTTGGCACATAGATAGATCTGGTGGTGTATTGGTGCCTTTTGGTAGTTTTGGAATTCTGAATAAAATATTTTTGGCTTTTCTCAAGTTTGGCTAAAACAGAAATTAGTGGTAGTGCACTTTTCAAGAATTAAAACCTTTCAATATACTTTTCTATATACACACCTAAATCATAACTCTAGACATAATCATGAAGAGTATATTGCCATTGCGGGGGATATTGATGACTTTGTCTTCTTGTTTAATTTAAATGTGGAGCCTGGAATGTATTAGTATGTATTTTCAGTGTATTTCAGTTGCATGCTTTCACTTTGACAGCAGTGACAACTAATGTATGTCAGTCAATAATAACTGGGTTGGAGACAATTCAGCACCTGTTTGGTGTTAATGTTATTTCTAACATGTCTTATTCATGTGTGAATACACAAGTTCACATGGTTTATATCTGTTCATCCCCAGGGTAAAGAGGTGATAGAGTATTACATCAACGAGCTGCTGTCTCAGGGTATCACCTACATTCCCCCATGGACCGACCCCAAGTTGAAGGCAGTGGCAGTAGAGGATGCCCCATCTCAGGACAGCGGTTTACGGAGTCGCTCTGACAGTGTCAGCAGCCAGCACAGCCAACACAGCCAGGCCAGTCTCATCCTGGGGGCCACTGCCGCTACTATACACAGGGGCAGCATTTCATCACCAGAGTCAGAAGGTGGTCCAATAAGGCATCATAAACTTTCACATAGCATACACATTTCTCTTCAACATTGGGTGTTGTCTATCTTTGTGTTATGGATATAGAGCAATATGTTGTGAATTATATCAATATAGATGAAAATGTTATTAGTTGTGAAATATTTGTCACAGAATATTTGAAATAGTCTAAGTTTGAGAGCTTGTGATCTGTTTAATGGTGATTCCAGGGCAGGCCCCCTGTATTTGTGTGTGGGTATGTCAGTCTGGGACATGGCTAACTGGCCTGGATGTGTTGTACCCATGACAACAAAAAGAGTAGTCTTAAAGTGCCAGCTTCATTTCTATCTGTGACGGGCAGTGGGGAAGCCTAGTGGTTAAAGTGTTCGCTCGTCACGCCGAAGACCCGGGTTCGATTTCCCACATGGGTACAATGTGTGAAGCCCATTTCTGGTGACCCCTGCTGTGATATTGCTGGAATATTGCTAAAAGCGGCTAAAACTTAACTCACTCAATCTGTAACTTTTGCCTCTGGACGAAAACCCAATCTAGTAAAATTCTGTTCTATCTAGCAAGCTCAGCTAAACATATTCCCTGTGAAAGATAGGACACTTTTATACATTCTTATACGGAATACTGGCATAAGAATATATACCAAAACAACATATACTGAAAAAGTTGTCATCCATAAAAGTATCCTCCCTTTCTTATTACTCATCAACTTCAAAAATGCCAATCAAACATTGCCAGAATGTATTAAGAAATATGCTCAGTGCCAAGTGTAGGCAAGTTGAATGAAAGGTTTTTGGCTTAGATTGGGATTATGATGATAATATACCCCTTGTAGTGACGGAAGTGCGAGTGCCGCCAGTGGAGCCACGTGGCAAGTTAGATGACGACTACATACAACGTTTCCTTGGCGCTCTGACACCAGTGGAGGAGAGTCAACTTATCACACTCAGACAGTGGCTCCAGAAGACACACAAGGGGAAGGTACATTTTTCATTACAAGGCTATTAGTCTTTATTTGTTGGATCACAGAAATGCTGACCCAGTTCATGTTCCTCGTAGTAACAGCTCAAATTGGGATCAGTTCCAGCATATGACATGTATGATGATGTCTAGTATGTAACCTATGTGATTCTACGTAATGTTGGACTTGTGTGTGTGCATGCATGCATGCATTTACAGTACAACCAGAAATTATTGAGAATTTAAAGTTTGTAATTTTTCAAAAAAATTGTTACTCATTACTCACGTATTAAATGTGAATATTAGCAGAACATAACTCCAGATTCAAAGACAGGTGAACAGTTAGTATTTTGTCAAGTCACCATGGGCAGCAATGCAGGCTTCAATGTGGCGGGGCTAATACTACTGATCAAAGAAGTTAGAAAGTCGTGGTCCATGCTGTCCCAATACCGGACCACCTCTTCTTTTATTTCAGCAATATTTGTCGGATTTTTCTTATTGACACTTTCCTTCAAAAGTCCCCAAACATTTTCTATTGGATTTAGGTCAGGGCTATAGCTTGGCCAATCTAATAATGTCATATTTTGGGTCCGAAACCAGGCCTGTGAATGCTTTGAACGATGTTTTGGGTCGTTGTCCTGCTGGAAAATCCAAACATTTCCATAGAACACCTGAGCAGATGGAAGTAAATGTCCCTCGAGAATATCTGTTTACAGCTCACTGTTCATATTCCCTTCAAATACACAAAGGGGTGTTGCCCTAACACAGATATGCCACCCCACACGTTAACTTTCGGACTGTACTTTGGGCGCTGATACAAAGGTTTTTCAGTTTGTTTGGTCCAGAATTTCAGTGTATTAGGGAAACAGCCACACAGAACTTTCATCTGAGAAAATCACATTGTCCCAGTTCAAATTTCTATGCTGTAAGCACCAGTTCAACCTTCGCTCCTTTTGTTCAGGTTTCATGATCGGTGATGGAATTCCTCGACTTTTCTGCCAACCCATTGCATGCAGCTCAGTTCTAATTGTCTTCTTACAGACAGCCACAGTTCCTCTATCAATCATATCCAGCCTTAAGTTTTCTAAACTCCTTCGTTTCTTTTAGAAACAAATACCAAGCCGCCGACAGTCAATTTTCTGGGTCACCGATTTTCTGGGCCTACCTGCCTGTTCTCCACTGGTGCTCAATGCCATATCCGTTTTCAAAATCACGATAAACAGTGGACAAAGGGATGCCTGTTCTACTTGAAATCACTTTAGCTGATCTCATGTCCTTGTTATAATACTCTAATGGACGGCACTGGCTGTTGATGCGGAGTCGTTGTTCGTCACCAGTAGAGACTGTTGTAGGTGTGGTCAAGTGTTCTGATGTTGACTGAGCCGGATGTGGACATAGTATGGGGCGGTGGTATTGTCAAGGGTAGAAGTTTGTGGCCTTGGCAAGTCATCAGCGATTGAGCGCCTAGATGGAGGTTGGAAAGCAGGGATGTACTTCCTGAGGAACTTCCGATTGCGTAGGGTCACTCTACCTGATCCGCTCTACCATTACAACATACTGGTCGAATTGACGAACTTCCTCGACCACACATCCTGTTTTGTCCCATTTGAGAGGGTGAGGCCCTATCTGGTTCTGGATTCTGACAAAGTCACCAACTGCGAGAGGTGGGAGCTGTTTGGTGTGCTGGGTGAGAAGTTCTGCCATCTTCATATGTCGGTTTCTGAGTGCCTCCTCCCTCAGTAATAGTGTATCGCTCCATGTCTCATGAGGTTTGTACCGACCGGGTAGGATGGGGATGAAGTCCTTGATGGCTCTGCCAAAAACACACATAGCAGGAGATAACTTTGTGTCTCTGTCTGGGGTGTTCCTGTACTGAAGCATTGCCCGCTGGAAAGCATCCGTGGCAACTTTCACCTTGTTCCACGTGATGGGTTCCAAGGAGCTGATTGCAGATGCAGCAGACTGGAGAGTGGCATCCTCTACACTGTAGTCAGGTTCTTCACTGCATCTGATGGAGGCAAGGATGTTATGACAAACATCCAGAGAAGGGGAAAGTTCAGTACAGTCCATGGCTGCAATATCATCCACTAGAACTATCCTCTCAGGGTTACCAGTTGGGTGACGAGATACAGCATCGGCAGCTCTGTGTTTGGCTCCAGGGATGTGAACCATGTGGAATTTGTACCGCAGGGTCTTTTCCTTCAGGTTCACGTAGTCGAGCATTCGAGATGCATTCAAGTGATCGATCCCCAAAGATCTTTAGTAGAGGTTTGTGGTCAACTGCAATGGTCAAATCATTACATCCAAGGACAAAATACCTTGCTTTCTCCAGGGCATCAACCACTGCTAGTGCTTCCCCTCGACCGGTGCATAGCGGATTCCGCGGCGTGGGTGAAACGACTTCCTACCAGGGTGATTTTCCATCCATCTCTACAGCAAAATGGCAGGGTCTTTGGGCATTGACAGTGCTTCTGGAAGAGCCAAAATCCAATTCCGTGTTTTCGACCAGTCTGTTGCAAGACAGGTCGGTTTGTTTGCGCGTCAAAGATGCGCACACCTTTCTCAATCTCATTGACAATGACGGTCTTGGATTCTTGAAACAAGCGGTCCAGATTGTCATCCCAACGAAAATGGTGTTCCAGGCTTTAGAAGTTGATTTAAAAGACTGCATCCTCTCAGCCATGCTGAATGCGTATGACACTTGATTGACGAGTCCAAACCAAGAACGCATGTCCGTTATGTTCTTTGGTGTAGGAAAGTCCATGATGGCCTGTAGGTACTTCAAGCAAGGTCGAACACTGGTACGAGTAATCTCAAAGCCTGCAAACTCCACGGTGTCTTGTGCAAAAGTGAACTTTTCAGGGTTTAAAGTAATGCCATTCCTTCCACAGATGTCAAGCCAATTACATGCCTGGAAGAAGGATTTCTCAATGTCATCAGCCCACAGGAGTGCGTCATTTCTGGGCACTTCCCCAATTGTGGGAAAATTTCCTGTGATCATCCCCAGTGAGATACAAGCCTCACGACTGAGGAAGAACTTGTCAGAGTTGTCTGTGATATAGACCACCTGTCTTGTTTCAATTGTTTTCCCTGTTGGGCTCCTGCCATACAGCCGTGTGATGAGGGCACCAAGGATATTGATACCCCTGTTATTGGCAGCACGCATCTTGAGAGTCACCGGAATGAGATTCTGTGTTTTCAGTCCAAGTTTGTGTGCGACCTTAATGCCAGCAAGGCAGCTCTGACAACCTGTGTCTGCCATGACGACAACAGAGGCTCTTCTTGGTCTTGAGGATAACATTGAGCCAAAGCCTAGTCTGTCATAGTCTTCTGCATGGACAGCCATCGATAGGTTGAGGAAGGGCTGGGGCCGGGAGGCTTGTTTAGTCCATGTGTCCGTCAGCTGATCATATAGGTGGTGATCAAGGTGAAGAGTCTTCTTTCCTTGGCTTCAGCTGATGTCAGTGAGTGAGCAGAGCATGTCAAAGACCGCGACCTTCATTTTCCTCAACCGTCCGTGGGGGCTTCTCAGCTCTCAGTTTCACTTTGCTCTGGCACACTGTGTCAAAGTGATTGTAGCGTTACAGGATGAACACATGCGACCGAAGGCAGGACAGTGTTTTTCCGATTTTCAGGGATGCACTTTTCCATGCCCCTTTCTTCCACAGTAGAAGCATGACTCGGGCGATATCAGATTCTTGGATGAATTAACAGCTGTGTTCTTGTTTCTTCGGTAGCCACTGCTAACAGCTTCCACAGACTGGGAGTCCAGAAGTCGAGATGCCGGCGTTTGCCTGATTCCTTGGCTTCCACAAATTGAAACACCTGTTCGAGATTCATGTCTTGGTTCTTGTCTCCAAGGAGATCTAACTGGATTTCAGGGTCATTTAGTCCACGGGTGAGTACGTGCATAGGATTGTCTCTGTGTAGTTCACCTCCTGATGGCACCCTGGACATGCAATGGTGAATTTGCAGACGCTTTCAGCCTGACCTCTTAGCCTGGGCACCTAAGGAGCCAACAGTTTCATCTCGATCCTGAGTCATGCCGTGGAGGGTAACGCGAGCTACCATGGTGTTCTCCTCTCTGACAGCAAGGAGTCTAATGGCCTTCAGGACATCTTCCTCGGATTTTTCTGTGAGGGATCCGCCAGCCGAACGTGTGAGATCTCTGCGTAGTGTCTCGTCACAGCATTCAAGAAGCTGTACAACGCTGGTCCTTCCCTGTGACCTTGGTCGCCTGGACATAGTCTTTCCATCTGGATTGAAAGTATGACCAATCTTCGCTTGTTACAGCAGATGATATGCTTGGTCGTTTCACTTTTCTACTTTTTGCAGAGATGGCAGGTCCTGTAGTGTGGACTGTTGCATGGGCTGTTAAGAGTGCTGCTACCACCACAGAATCAAGGTCTTCTGTCACGAAGTCGCATGACGAATAGGGCATCCAACGACTGGCATGTTTGTGTCTTGAAACTGTAGGTTAGAATCTCTGATGTACCAAGTTGCAGAGGTGGCAGATCTCCATCATAAATAAGTAGGCAATACTTTTTACAGATGACTGTTTTTTCACGGTCGATCATAAATGATGGAGATCTGCAATGAGAGTAAACACATCATGTATAACATGGATAATTAAATAACATATAATCCTCTAAGGATAACTGAAAATGTCGTCTGCTAGCAAGTAAACAAAGGGGGATAACTCTTCACAAACTAATGAAAAGGATTAACGTTTTTGTCTCTCTTGAATGAAACCAAGCACTTGATAGCTGGTCAAGGTTGTTTATACTAGAAATCCAATTAAACATATTCCTAAAATTCTCAATAATTTCTGGTCATACTATATGATTGATGATTGACATGATTTAGATATTTATCTACAATATATTGAGCATGCAACACATAGATAGATGGGGTTATTTGACTCTGTTAGTATTTTGAGTCAGGTTACATTATTAACTCATATCCTCCATTCTCTTCCCATAGAGGTTACTCCTGTCATATCTTCCTACATAACCTCTGTTCTAATACGACCCTTTCTTGGTGTCAGCGTTCAAGGCTCGTGATTGGAGACAAGCCGATTTAGTTGTGCAATCAGCGACGTTGCAAGGCCTCGGTAATTTCCGTGATGCTTCGGAAAACTAGAACCTTCTTCCCGAAGCCGATGCGCAGCGCTTTCTTCTAGACAGAACTCAGTCATGTAATGGCGATCAATGGCGCCTCCATCGCCTCGCTGACAACGGACAAGCTAGCCATTAAACGTCTTGTGTGTAACATCAACACAATTCCCCGGCAGATGGGGGATATTTGTGGCCCCGCATTTGCTTGTGTTAGTCAAATTGAATCTAAGTCGATGAAACACGTGTTCTGATTGGATAGAAAGAAGGGAGATAATTCGTGTTGCGATCTTTTGCCGCTAGGGGATTTTACGAGGACCGGGAAATATGGCCGTATTAGAACAGAGGTTATGTAGGAAGATATGACAGGAGTAACCTCTGTGGGAAGAGAATGCATATCCTCATGAGTTATGATAATGTTGTTGCCATGGATGTGGATGTTCTGCTAATCATGTGGATCCCTCGCCACCTAGATCCCCAAAGATGCCCACATACTGAGGTTTCTGCGGGCAAGGGACTTCAACGTGGAGAAAGCCCGTGAGATGCTGGTGCACTCACTTGCCTGGAGGAAATTACACAACATTGACAGGCTTTTAGACACATACGAAATACCTCCCGTCATCAAGAGATACTACCCTGGTGGATGGCATTACTGTGATAAAGGTACACACTAAGGTCACTTAGACATATGGTGAAATGTTGTGATTTGCAGTGAGACATCGTTTTACTCATGCTCATAATCTTGAAATTGTTATTTAAAACTGTTGGGTAGCCTAGTGGTTAATTCATTCGCTCGTCACGGCGAAGACCCTGGTTCGATTCTCCACATCGGTACAATGTGTGAAGCCCATTTCTGGTGTCCCCTGCCGTGATGTTGCTGGAATTTTGCTAAAAGTGTCGTAAAACCATACTCACTCACTCACTTTAAAACAGTGGAAGTTTATGATCCTGATGGCATCCGTATCAGAATTATTGCATTATATCAACAAAGTCTCATATTAAGGTTAGGAAAACATATACTTGATTATCCCTGGTCTATAGATCAGGAAACTGGTTGTGAATCAAGCCATGCTGTGACTGATTGCCTCACTTCTTCCAGAGGATCGCCCCTTGTACATTCTGCGGATGGGTCAGATGGATGTAAAGGGTTTGATGAAGTCAGTTGGAGATACGTCCCCCTACAGGTCCTCATCAACGACATCTCAACGATGTACAACCATTCAGTCTACGAAACATCTCAGACCACATCTACTATGGTGGACCAAGAAATCGAATGTCTGCGAGGGGATTTGTTTAGCAGAGCAGGAATACAAAACCCATCTGTATGTAGATAGCGTCACTCCAAGGTTGGGGAGCTCATCTCACCAACCACACGATATCAGGGTTATGGAATCAGCAAGAATGCAAACTCCATATAAACAGTCTAGAAATGAAAGCTGTAATCAACGCCATTCTACATTGGAGCACATTTCTACAAAATGCGCCTAATGATCCATACAGACAATTCGACAGTGGCGTTCTACATAAACAAGCAAGGCTCAACGAGATCGATGAACCTTTTGAACCTAAGTTTCAACTGTTCGATTTAATACAAGATCTAAATCTACATGTCAGAGCAGTGCACATTCCTGGAGCCAGAAATATACTAGCAGGCGGCTCTCTCTCGGCCTCATCTACCATCACCGACGACAGAGTGGATGATCAACAGGGAAATTTTTGCACAGATAATCAAGCAATTAGGAGCGCGCCGCTAATAGACCTATTCGCCACAGCGATTCAACAATCAGCTACCGACATTAAATTGTCACCAGTCCCAGACCCCAAGCTTGGGCAACGGATTTAAGTCTATCATGGGAAGGCCTCAATGCGCGTGCATCGTTTCGCTCGCCAGCAATAATACCTCAAGTATTACAGAAAATCAGACAAACACAGAGCCTACAACTCATTTTGGTCAGCCCTACTGGCGGGCCAGAACGTGGTTTCCCATACTAATTCAAGAAATCGGGTCAACCAACACTGGAGCTACCTAAGCGGCGCAAACCTGTTAATTCATCCTCACACCAAACAAGTGCACGGAAAACCAGCAATGTTCCAACTACATCGTATGGACTGTATACAAATGTGCTTAAACAAGAGAGGATATTCTGCCAGGGCGGCAAAAGCAGTCACGCTTTACGCTACTCAACTTTCGTGGCAATGCGGACTGACAAGTGGCACAGTTTCAAAAATTATGCAACAAAGATAGGGTTTACAGCAAGAAAGGCTTCACAACCTCAAGTGGCAGACTATTTGTGTTACCTACGCCAAAACAAACATTTAAAAGGTTCAACGATATCAACATATCTTGCGGCTTAGCTCTGTAATCACCATGAGAGCGGGTGTCAAATTGACAAGATCTCCAGAGTTACTGGCCTTACTATGAGCTTTCCGATTGGAGGACCAAAGCGGAAGTTCCACGCTTCCAGCTTGGGATCGAATGTAGTGTTACAACACCTCACGAGTGAGGTCTATGAACCTTTGGAATCGACAAACTTTGAATTTCTCTCACAGAAAACATTGTTTCTGCTATCGCTAGCCACAGCAGCAAGAATGTCTGAAATTCACGCTCTGGATTACGAGAGGATACAGTTTGATGACAATCATAACACAGCACCTCGGATTAAGATGGGATTTCATCGCAAAAATCAACTGCCAGGTCAACCAGACAGATTATTCCACATCCGGCTATCCTCTATTCTCGGATCACAAGATACACAAGACCTATCACTGTGTCCGGTAAGAGCTCAAAGTTTATTTCTGACGATCCAAAACAAGGAGAAGATTTCTCAACGTTTATTCATCCCATTATCGCCTACGAATCAAACAGAAGTGTCACGGACCACAATATCTATTTGGATAAGGACTGTCATTCTCCGTGCCTACAAGGCAGCAGGCTTGGACCCACCAACAGCATCAAATCCACATGAGATCAGGGCACTGGCCTCTACCCTCGCCCTACACGGTAACTGTTCCTTGAACACGATTATGGAAGGATGCTATTGGAAATCTAACATGGTATTTGCTAATCACTACCTAAGAGACATCACTACAGAAGATGTCTCTGGCATTCACCATTTCGGACCACTGGTCCTCAAGCTCAGCAACTGACAGTTCCTCGAGAAGGCGTTAAAATATTATCCTCACAAGATTAATATGTATTTTATACATACTCATCTAGCTTATAACTCTACGGAGTTTTAGGGCTATGTATATATGTTCAGCTTAAGTATTCAACCTTAAGCATATACTTGGATATAGTCAATTTCAGTGCCTCTATCAGAGTCACCTATATATATATATATAATTTATATGTATTGTTCAATATATTCATAATGTAATTCCCCTTTAATGGCTTTATATAACCTATGGTTTTCTTTATACAGGAAACATCCTAAATCTAAGCCTTCATGAAGTTCCCTTAGGGGATATTACAGTATATCTATACAAAATCACTAATTATAAATCCAAAGTATTCTGTTACCCACCTCCGTTCCGTGGGATGCTACAAGCAAAGAGCATGAGTCAGGATAAGGAAAAATATGTAATTTTTAGAGTAAAATTGATATTTTATACTTATCCTGACTCATGAGGTTAGCCCCTCCCATCCTCCCCCCACATAACACTTTGGATTTCCCTGTAAATTCAAGTGTTGGGCTCAAGCTAAATCAGGAGAGAGAGTGGAGCACATGGCCAGAGGGTGGCTACACCTTTCCCGCCAGGGGAGACAAAGGGAGCAACTTCGTGGTGAGTACCAATTAGTGATTTTATTTTGAAGGGAGCTTCAAATAAGGAGATACAAGTGTTCCACTATGTTCGCAAGAAGAAGAAGACAAGCAAAAGAGCATGAGTCAGGATAAGTATAAAATATCAATTTTACTCTAAAAATTACATTTTCCCGGTAGCGAGAGCAAGGGATATACCGATATTTAGGCACGAGTGTCGTAAACATAGTATGATGTGGGCACGAATATAATATTCTGTTTATTACCGAAGTCGTCAAATTGAGGAAAATAACCCAAATCTACTTTCAAACATAGGCTGTCTACCCGCCGTCTCCGCATATAGAACGCAGCGTCACAGAAGAAACGTGACGTCATAGCATTGTTCATGACGTCATGTCACCATGACAAAGTGATATTTTGCCCTAGGGCATCGTGTAAAAAAATGACCCCTGATATGTTCGCCCTCATAGGTAATAAATATCCATATCATGAACATGGAATATACTGCTCAAGTGAAGTGACTAAAGTTAATCTGACATGGTGTGATACATCTACTACTGTTAATCTGACATGGTGTGATACAACTACTACTGTTAATCTGACATGGTGTGATACAACTACTACTGTTAATCTGACATGGTGTGATACAACTACTACTGTTAATCTGACATGGTGTGATACATCTACTACTGTTAATCTGACATGGTGTGATACATCTACTACTGTTAATCTGACATGGTGTGATACATCTACTACTGTTAATCTGACATGGTGTGATACATCTACTACTGTTAATCTGACATGGTGTGATACATCTACTACTGTTAATCTGACATGGTGTGATACATCTACTACTGTTAATACATCTACTACTGTTAATCTGACATGGTGTGATACATCTACTACTGTTAATCTGACATGGTGTGATACATCTACTACTGTTAATCTGACATGGTGTGATACATCTACTACTGTTAATCTGACATGGTGTGATACATCTACTACTGTTAATCTGACATGGTGTGATACATCTACTACTGTTAATCTGACATGGTGTGATACATCTACTACTGTTAATCTGACATGGTAATCTGACATGGTGTGATACATCTACTACTGTTAATCTGACATGGTGTGATACATCTACTACTGTTAATCTGACATGGTGTGATACATCTACTACTGTTAATCTGACATGGTGTGATACATCACTACTAATCTACATGGTGTTATCTATCTGACTGACATGGTGTGATACATCTACATCTACTACTGTTAATCTGACATGGTGTGATACATCTACTACTGTTAATCTGACATGGTGTGATACATCTACTACTGTTAATCTGACATGGTGTGATACATCTACTACTGTTAAATCTGACATGGTGTGATACATCTACTACTGTTAATCTGACATGGTGTGATACATCTACTACTGTTAATCTGACATGGTGTGATACATCTACTACTGTTAATCTGACATGGTGGTGTGAATCTGACATCTGTGATACATCTACTTGTTAATCTGACATGGTGTGATCACATCTACTACTGTTAATCTGACATGGTGTGATACATCTACTACTGTTAATCTGACATGGTGTGATACATCTACTACTGTTAATCTGACATGGTGTGATACATCTACTACTGTTAATCTGACATGGTGTGATACATCTACTACTGTTAATCTGACATGGTGTGATACATCTACTACTGTTAATCTGACATGTGGTTAATCTGACATGGTGTGATACATCTACTACTGTTAATCTGACATGGTGTGATACATCTACTCTGACATGTTAATCTACTGACACATGGTGTGATACATCTACTACTGTTAATCTGACATGGTGTGATACATCTACTACTCTGTTAATCTACTACTGTTAATCTGACATGGTGTGATACATCTACTACTGTTAATCTGACATGGTGTGATACATCTACTACTGTTAATCTGACATGGTGTGATACATCTACTACTGTTAATCTGACATGGTGTGATACATCTACTACTGTTAATCTGACATGGTGTGATACATCTACTACTGTTAATCTGACATGGTGTGATACATCTACTCTGACTGTTAATCTGACATGGTGTGATACATCTACTACTGTTAATCTGACATGGTGTGATACATCTACTACTGTTAATCTGACATGGTGTGATACATCTACTACTGTTAATCTGACATGGTGTGATACATCTACTACTGTGATACATCTACTACTGTTAATCTGACATGGTGTGATACATCTACTGTTAATCTGTTAATCTGACATGGTGTGATACATCTACTACTGTTAATCTGACATGGTGTGATACATCTACTACTGTTAATCTGACATGGTGTGATACATCTACTACTGTTAATCTGACATGGTGTGATACATCTACTACTGTTAATCTGACATGGTGTGATACATCTACTACTGTTAATCTGACATGGTGTGATACATCTACTACTGTTAATCTGACATGGTGATACATGATACATCTACTACTGTTAATCTGACATGGTGTGATACATCTACTACTGTTAATCTGACATGGTGTGATACATCTACTACTGTTAATCTGACATGGTGTGATACATCTACTACTGTTAATCTGACATGGTGTGATACATCTACTACTGTTAATCTGACATGGTGTGATACATCTACTACTGTTAATCTGACATGGTGTGATACATCTACTACTGTTAATCTGACATGGTGTGATACATCTACTACTGTTAATCTGACATGGTGTGATACATCTACTACTGTTAATCTGACATGGTGTGATACATCTACTACTGTTAATCTGACATGGTGTGATACATCTACTACTGTTAATCTGACATGGTGTGATACATCTACTACTGTTAATCTGACATGGTGATACATCTACTACTGTTAATCTGACATGGTGTGATACATCTACTACTGTTAATCTGACATGGTGTGATACATCTACTACTGTTAATCTGACATGGTGTGATACATCTACTACTGTTAATCTGACATGGTGTGATACATCTACTACCGTTATCTGACATGGTGTGATACATCTACTACATTAATCTGACATGGTGTGATACATCTACTACTGTTAATCTGACATGGTGTGATACATCTACTGTTAATCTGACATGGTGTGATACATCTACTACTGTTAATCTGACATGGTGTGATACATCTACTACTGTTAATCTGACATGGTGTGATACATCTACTACTGTTAATCTGACATGGTGTGATACATCTACTACTGTTAATCTGACATGGTATACAGCATACATCTACACTGTTATTGTTAATCTGACATGGTGTGATACATCTACTAACTTAATCTGACATGGTGTGATACATCTACTACTGTTAATCTGATGTTTCTGACATTTTTTATTGCTGCCTGGCATGAACATTCACAAACTCCTGCATTTGTAAAATGTCGTAAAATGATGTTTCTGTCATTGGATAGAGCATTAAGTTGAGCTTTCTGCTTTTCTAGTACCCATATGTTTTTAGGGAATTGTATGGTCATCTGCAGTTAGTCAACTGTTTGTGTAAGGAATGGTATATATACATGGTATAAGGGCTGTGTTAGGCAAATGTATATCCTCTTTTTATAATGTTGTTTTGTTTGTTTATTTAACACTGCACTAAGCAGTATCCCAGCTATATGATGGTGGTCTGTAGGTAATTGAGTCTGGACCAGACAATCCAGTGATTGACATCATGCACACTCGCGATTACATCAACACTCAACTATACAGGAATGTATAGCCCTTCTACAATGATAGTAATGAAGAGAAAAATATGTTGATAAATCATATTAGGGGTAATTTCAACTTTATTGACTTGCAGAAACTGATTCAAGTTCCACAGAAAGGATGTGTGATAACCTGGGACTTTGACATCCTCAAGGGAGATGTGACATTTACTGTGTTCCGGTGTCGGGCGTCACGCTCCACTGACCCCATTCATCAACACCATGTGAGCAGTGCCACTGGGGGTATCGGCTCTGTTCAGTACATCGACAAAAGCATGGTGGTGGGAGTGGATATCAGCATCATGGAGCCACCCCATATATGTCGGGACGGAGACAGTGTCCAGGTACATAGTGTTTGTAATGTTGGGACGGAGACGGTGTCCAGGTACATAGTGTTTATAATGTCAGGATGGAATCAGTGTCCAGGTACATGATGTTTATAATGTCGGGATGGAGGCAGTGTCCAGGTACATAGTGTTTGTAATGTCGGGATGTAGGCAATGTCCAGGTACATGGTGTTTGTAATGTCAGGAATGGAGACAGTGTCCAGGTACATAGAGTTTGTAATGTCGGGATGGAGGCAGTTTCCAGGTACATAGTGTATGTAATGTCGGGATGGAGGCAGTGTCCAGGTACATGGTGTTTATAATGTCGGGATGGAGGCAGTGTCCAGGTACATAGTGTTTGTAATGTCGGGGTGTAGGAAGTGTCCAGGTACATGTTGTTTGTAATGTCGGGACGGAGACAGTGTCCAGGTACATAGTGTTTGTAATGTCAGGACGGAGACAGTGTCCAGGTACATAGTGTATGTAATGTCGGGATGGAGGCAGTGTCCAGGTACATAGTGTTTGTAATGTCAGGACGGAGACAGTGTCCAGGTACATGTTGTTTATAATGTCGTGATGGAGACAGTGTCCAGGTACATAGAGTTTGTAATGTCGGGATGGAGGCAGTGTCCAGGTACATAGTGTTTGTAATGTCTCGATGGAGGCAGTGTCCAGGTACATGGTGTTTGTAATGTCAGGACGGAGACAGTGTCCAGGTACATAGTGTTTGTAATGTCGGGATGGAGACAGTGTCTAGGTACATAGAGTTTGTAATGTCAGGATGGAGGCAGTGTCCAGGTACATAGTGTTTGTAATGTCAGGACGGAGACAGTGTCCAGGTACATAGTGTTTGTAATGTTGGGGTGGAGGCAGTGTCCAAGTACATGTTGTTTATAATGTCAGGATGGAGGCAGTGTCCAGGTACATAGTGTTTATAATGTCGAGATTGAGACAGTGTCCAGGTACATAGTGTTTGTAATGTCTGGATGGAGGCAGTGTCCAGGTACATGTTGTTTCTAATGTCGGGACGGAGACAGTGTCTAGGTACATAGTGTATGTAATGTTGGGGTGGAGGCAGTGTCCAAGTACATGTTGTTTATAATGTCAGGATGGAGGCAGTGTCCAGGTACATAGTGTTTATAATGTCGAGATTGAGACAGTGTCCAGGTACATAGTGTTTGTAATGTCTGGATGGAGGCAGTGTCCAGGTACATGTTGTTTATAATGTCGGGACGGAGACAGTGTCCAGGTACATAGTGTATGTAATGTCGGGATGGAGGCAGTGTCCAGGTACATAGTGTTTGTAATGTCGGGATGGAGACAGTGTCCAGGTACATAGTGTTTGTTATGTCGAGATGGAGGCAGTGTCCAGGTACATAGTGTATGTAATGTCAGGATGGAGACAGTGTCCAGGTACATAGTGTATGTAATGTCAGGACAGAGACAGTGTCCAGGTACATGGTGTTTGTAATGTCGGGATGGAGACAGTGTCCAGGTACATGGTGTTTGTAATGTCGGGGTGGAGGCAGTGTCCAGGTACATGTTGTTTATAATGTCGGGATGGAGGCAGTGTCCAGGTACATAGTGTTTGTAATGTCGGGGTGTAGGCAGTGTCCAGGTACATAGTGTTTATAATGTCGGGATGGAGACAGTGTCCAGGTACATAGTGTTTGTAATGTCCGGGTGGAGGCAGTGTCCAGGTACATGTTGTTTATAATGTCGGGATGGAGGCAGTGTCCAGGTACATAGTGTTTGTAATGTCGGGGTGTAGGCAGTGTCCAGGTACATGTTGTTTATAATGTCGGGACGGAGACAGTGTCTAGGTACATAGTGTATGTAATGTTGGGGTGGAGGCAGTGTCCAAGTACATGTTGTTTATAATGTCAGGATGGAGGCAGTGTCCAGGTACATAGTGTTTATAATGTCGGGATGGAGACAGTGTCCAGGTACATAGTGTTTGTAATGTCTGGGTGGAGACAGTGTCCAGGTACATAGTGTTTATAATGTCGAGATTGAGACAGTGTCCAGGTACATAGTGTTTGTAATGTCTGGATGGAGGCAGTGTCCAGGTACATGTTGTTTATAATGTCGGGACGGAGACAGTGTCCAGGTACATAGTGTATGTAATGTCAGGATGGAGGCAGTGTCCAGGTACATAGTGTTTGTAATGTCGGGATGGAGACAGTGTCCAGGTACATAGTGTTTGTTATGTCGAGATGGAGGCAGTGTCCAGGTACATAGTGTATGTAATGTCAGGATGGAGACAGTGTCCAGGTACATAGTGTATGTAATGTCAGGACAGAGACAGTGTCCAGGTACATGGTGTTTGTAATGTCGGGATGGAGACAGTGTCCAGGTACATGGTGTTTGTAATGTCGGGGTGGAGGCAGTGTCCAGGTACATGTTGTTTATAATGTCGGGATGGAGGCAGTGTCCAGGTACATAGTGTTTGTAATGTCGGGGTGTAGGCAGTGTCCAGGTACATAGTGTTTATAATGTCGGGATGGAGACAGTGTCCAGGTACATAGTGTTTGTAATGTCCGGGTGGAGGCAGTGTCCAGGTACATGTTGTTTATAATGTCGGGATGGAGGCAGTGTCCAGGTACATAGTGTTTGTAATGTCGGGGTGTAGGCAGTGTCCAGGTACATGTTGTTTATAATGTCTGGACGGAGACAGTGTCTAGGTACATAGTGTATGTAATGTTGGGGTGGAGGCAGTGTCCAAGTACATGTTGTTTATAATGTCGGGATGGAGGCAGTTTCCAGGTACATAGTGTTTGTAATGTCGTGGTGGAGGCAGTGTCCAGGTACATAGTGTTTGTAATGTGGGGATGGAGGCAATGTCCAGGTACATAGTGTTTGTAATGTCTGGGTGGAGACAGTGTCCAGGTACATAGTGTTTATAATGTCGAGATTGAGACAGTGTCCAGGTACATAGTGTTTGTAATGTCGGTATGGAGGCAGTGTCCAGGTACATGTTGTTTATAATGTCGGGACGGAGACAGTGTCCAGGTACATAGTGTATGTAATGTCGGGATGGAGGCAGTGTCCAGGTACATAGTGTTTGTAATGTCGGGATGGAGGCAGTGTCCAGGTACATAGAGTTTGTAATGTCAGGATGGAGACAGTGTCCAGGTACACAGTGTATGTAATGTCGGGATGGAGGCACTGTCCAGGTACATAGTGTTTGTAATGTCGGGATGTAGGCAATGCCCAGGTACATAGTGTTTATAATGTCGGGATGGAGACAGTGTCCAGGTAGATAGTGTTTGTAATGTCAGGATGGAGGCAGTGTCCAGGTTCATAGTGTTTGTAATGTCGGGATGTAGGCAATGCCCAGGTACATGGTGTTTATAATGTCGGGATGGAGACAGTGTCCAGGTACATAGTGTTTGTAATGTCGGGGTGGAGACAGTGTCCAGGTACATAGTGTTTATAATGTTGGGATGGAGACAGTGTCCAGGTACATAGAGTTTGTAATGTCAGGATGGAGACATTGTCCAGGTACATAGTGTTTATAATGTCGGGATGGAGACAGTGTCCAGGTACATAGAGTTTATAATGTTGGGATGGAGACAGTGTCCAGGTACATAGAGTTTGTAATGTCAGGATGGAGACATTGTCCAGGTACATAGTGTTTATAATGTCGGAATGGAGGCAGTGTCCAGGTACATAGTGTTTATAATGTCGGGATGGAGACAGTGTCCAGGTACATAGAGTTTGTAACGTCAGGATGGAGACAGTGTCCAAGTACATAGTGTATGTAATGTCGGGATGGAGGCAGTGTCCAGGTACATAGAGTTTGTAATGTCAGGATGGAGACAGTGTCCAGGTACATAGTGTTTATAATGTCGGAATGGAGGCAGTGTCCAGGTACATAGTGTTTATAATGTCGGGATGGAGACAGTGTCCAGGTACATAGAGTTTGTAATGTCAGGATGGAGGCAGTTTCCAGGTACATAGTGTTTGTAATGTCGGGTTGGAGGCAGTGTCCAGGTACATAGTGTATGTAATGTCGGGATGGAGGCAGTGTCCAGGTACATAGAGTTTGTAATGTCAGGATGGAGACAGTGTCCAGGTACATCGTGTTTATAATGTCGGAATGGAGGCAGTGTCCAGGTACATAGTGTTTATAATGTCGGGATGGAGACTGTGTCCAGGTACATAGAGTTTGTAATGTCAGGATGGAGGCAGTTTCCAGGTACATAGTGTTTATAATGTCGGGATGGAGACAGTGTCCAGGTACATAGTGTTTGTAATGTCAGGATGGAGGCAGTTTCCAGGTACATAGTGTTTGTAATGTCGGGATGGAGGCAATGTCCAGGTACATAGTGTTTGTAATGTCTGGATGGAGGCAGTTTCCAGGTACATGTTGTTTATAATGTCGGGATGGAGGCAATGTCCAGGTACATAGTGTATGTAATGTGGGGATGGAGGCAGTGTCCAGGTACATGGTGTTTGTAATGTCGGGATGGAGGCAGTGTCCAGGTACATGTTGTTTATATTGTCAGGACGGAGACAGTGTCCAGGTACATAGTGTTTGTAATGTTGGGATGGAGGCAATGTCCAGGTACATGGTGTTTGTAATGTCGGAATGGAGACAGTGTCCAGGTACATAGTGTATGTGATGTGGGGATGGAGGCAGTGTCCAGGCACATAGTGTATGTAATGTCGGGATGGAGTCAGTGTCCAGGTACATAGTGTATGTAATGTCGGGACGGAGGCAGTGTCCAGGTACATAGTGTATGTAATGTCAGGATGGAGGCAGTGTCCAGGTACATGGTGTATGTAATGTCAGGATGGAGGAAGTGTCCAGGTACATAGTGTATGTAATGTCGGGATGGAGGCAGTGTCCAGGTACATAGTGTATGTAATGTCGGGATGGAGTCAGTGTCCAGGTACATAGCGTATGTAATGTGGGGATGGAGGCAGTGTCCAGGTACATAGTGTATGTAATGTCGGGATGGAGGCAGTGTCCAGGTACATAGTGTCTATAATGTCGGGATGGAGACAGTGTCCAGGTACATAGAGTTTGTAATGTCAGGATGGAGACAGTGTCCAAGTACATAGTGTATGTAATGTCAGGATGGAGGCAGTGTCCAGGTACATAGTGTTTGTAATGTCGGGATGGAGACAGTGTCCAGGTACATAGTGTATGTAATGTCTGGATGGAGGCAGTGTCCAGGTACATGTTGTTTATAATGTCGGGATGGAGGCAATGTCCAGGTACATAGTGTTTGTAATGTCGGGATGGAGGCAGTGTCCAGGTACATGGTGTTTGTAATGTCGGGATGGAGTCAGTGTCCAGGTACATGTTGTTTATATTGTCAGGACGGAGGCAGTGTCCAGGTACATAGTGTTTGTAATGTTGGGATGGAGGCAATGTCCAGGTACATGGTGTTTGTAATGTCAGAATGGAGACAGTGTCCAGGTACATAGTGTATGTAATGTCAGGATGGAGGCAGTGTCCAGGCACATAGTGTATGTAATGTGGGGATGGAGGCAGTGTCCAGGTACATAGTGTATGTAATGTCGGGATGGCGACAGTGTCCAGGTACATAGTGTATGTAATGTCGGGATGGAGTCAGTGTCCAGGTACATAGTGTATGTAATGTCAGGATGGAGGCAGTGTCCAGGTACATAGTGTATGTAATGTCGGGATGGAGGCAGTGTCCAGGTACATAGTGTATGTAATGTCGGGATGGAGTCAGTGTCCAGGTACATAGTGTATGTAATGTCGGGATGGAGGCAGTGTCCAGGTACATAGTGTATGTAATGTCGGGATGGAGTCAGTGTCCAGGTACATGGTGTTTGTAATGTCGGGATGGAGGCAGTGTCCAGGTACATAGTGTATGTAATGTCGGGATGGAGGCAGTGTCCAGGTACATAGTGTATGAATGTCGGGATGGAGTCAGTGTCCAGGTACATAGTGTATGAATGTCGGGATGGAGGCAGTGTCCAGGTACATAGTGTATGAATGTCGGGATGGAGGCAGTGTCCAGGTACATAGTGTATGTAATGTCGGGATGGAGACAGTGTCCAGGTACATAATGACGTAGTGATGTAACACTAACATCTCTGCTGTTGTTCACATTCAGGGCACCCATGTCACCAGCCAGGCTGGTAGCTACATTCTCCAGTGGAAATACTTCGACTCTGCCAAGGCCAGTTTTGACTTCCCGCTCACCTCACACAAGTCAAAGGTCATGTACTACACAGAGTTGTTGCCTTCAGAAGCATTCAGGTAAGTCAGCTGACATTGAACAGTAAACATTCAGTGACACCAGCTGACATTCAGATAACATTCAGTCAAGCCAGCTGACATTATTTAACATTCAGTCAAGCCAGCTGACATTATTTAACATTCAGTTAAGCCAGCTGACATTATTTAACATTCAGTTAAGCCAACTGACATTCAGATAACATTCAGTTAAGCCAGCTGACATTATTTAACATTCAGTTAAGCCTGCTGACATTCATTTAAGATTTAGTTAAGCCAGCTGACATTCAGGTCACATTCAGTTAAGCCAGTTGACATTCAGATAACATTCAGTTAAACCAGCTGACATTATTTAACATTGAGTTAAGCCAGCTGACATTATTTAACATTCAGTTAAGCCAGCTGACATTCATTTTAGATTTAGTTAAGCCAGCTGACATTCAGATACCATTCAGTTAAGCCAGCTGACATTCAGATACCATTCAGTTAAACCAGCTGACATTCAGATACCATTCAGTTAAGCCAGCTGACATTCAGATACCATTCAGTTAAGCCAGCTGACATTCATTTTAGATTTAGTTAGGCCAGCTGACATTCAGATACCATTCAGTTAAGCCAGCTGACATTCAGATACCATTCAGTTAAACCAGCTGACATTCAGATACCATTTAGTTAAGCCAGCTGACATTCAGATACCATTCAGTGACACCAGCTGACATTCAGATACCATTCAGTTAAGCCAGCTGACATTCAGATACCATTCAGTTAAGCCAGCTGACATTCTGTATCACATACAGTTAAACCAGCTGACATTCAGATACCATTCAGTTAAGCCAGCTGACATTCAGGTCACATACAGTTAAACCAGCTGACATTCAGATACCATTCAGTTAAGCCAGCTGACATTCAGATAACATTCAGTTAAGCCAGCTGACATTCTGTATCACATACAGTTAAGCCAGCTGACATTCAGATACCATTCAGTTAAACCAGCTGACATTCAGATACCATTCAGTTAAGCCAGCTGACATTCAGGTCACATACAGTTAAACCAGCTGACATTCAGATACCATTCAGTTAAGCCAGCTGACATTCTGTATCACATACAGTTAAACCAGCTGACATTCAGATACCATTCAGTTAAGCCAGCTGACATTCAGGTCACATACAGTTGAACCAGCTGACATTCAGATACCATTCAGTTAAGCCAGCTGACATTCAGGTCACATACAGTTAAACCAGCTGACATTCAGATACCATTCAGTTAAGCCAGCTGACATTCAGATACCATTCAGTGACACCAGCTGACATTCAGGTCACATTAGGGAAAGCTGGCTTATATTCAGGTTATATTTAGTCTTATGGTGATAGTTTTGAATATTTTGACAGTCAACTTCAAAGAATGAGTTTTATGTTGCATTATTTAATTATATTTTATAACTATTCAAATATTTTCTAATTGAAACTCTTGTTTTTTATGCATATTATCATCTACACTGTCAGCAGTTTCAAATTCCCAGTTGATATGGTCCAATTGTAGGACACACAACTGCAACACATCAATAGTTTGATATGATGCTACACTCCTGTCATGGGTAAAACAAGTTATGGATAGTTTTGTTATCTCATAGATATGTTAACTAGTCTTCTCAAGTGCAAAATGTATTTTATATTGACTTCATCTTGTGGTTAAATTCATGACTGACATAGTTATATTTGTATTCCGAATATATATGTCGATATCCACTTGACATGTTGATATCTACTGGACTTGTTGATATCTACTGGACTTGTTGATGTCTACTGGACTTGTTGATATCCACTTGACATGTTGATGTCTACTGGACATGTTGATGTCTACTGGACTTGTTGATGTCTACTGGACTTGTTGATATCTACTGGACTTGTTGATTTGTTCTGGACTTGCTGATTTGTACTGGACTTGTTGATGTCTACTGGACTTGTTGATGTCTACTGGACTTGTTGATTTGTACTGGACTTGCTGATTTGTACTGGACTTGTTGATTTGTACTGGACTTGCTGATTTCTACTGGAATTGTTGATATCTACTGGAATTGTTGATGTCTACTGGACTTGTTGATTTGTACTGGACTTGTTGATGTCTACTGGGCTTGTTGATGTCTACTGGACTTGTTGATGTCTACTGGACTTGTTGATGTCTACTGGACTTGTAGATTTGTACTGGACTTGCTGATTTGTACTGGACTTGTTCATTTGTACTGGACTTGCTGATTTGTACTGGAATTGTTGATGTCTACTGGACTTGTTGATATCTACTGGGATTGTTGATTTCTACTGAACTTGTTGATATCTACTGGACTTGTTGATTTCTACTGGACTTGTTGACATCTACTGGAATTGTTGATTTCTACTGGACTTGTTGATATCTACTGGACTTGCTGATTTCTACTGGAATTGTTGATTTCTACTGGACTTGTTGATATCTACTGGAATTGTTGATTTCTACTGGACTTGTTGATATCTACTGGAATTGTTGATTTCTACTTGACTCAACACAAACAAAAGTACTACAGTCTGTGTAATCCCAAGTATAACAGGTGTTACATTTGACCACTTGTAAACAGCATTGAATATTCATGACTGATAAGACAGTTTAACTGAACTGACCTGTGATAGCATCCTCAGATATCCACCCTTGTTGTATTGGAGTAATCTGTTTTCATTGAGAATGTGTACTTCAGTGTGCCAACTGCTGTGTTACAGAGGGTCAATGAGCAGCCTGCAGTCATGTCAGAGTGGCTTCTCATCCCTCAGTATTGGCACAAATCACAGCAGCCAGTCGGGAGCCAGCTCCTGTCCCTCCAGGTGATGAAACCACTGACGTCAGTCACCGGGTGCTGCATGCGGGAAATCTCAGCTTTGTAGTCAGCTTTCATGTACTAATCTTGTAGTGAAGGAGATTCAGCCTATCTTCAATTTCATACATACCCAAAATTGTTTAGTTCCAGATATTCAAAAAATGAATGTGAAATAAATGACCACTTTTGTTCTTTTATGTCAAAGTCTCCTTGACAGTTTCAACATCCAAGGGGGATAATTCATGTACTAGATTTTGTTGGGTTTCGGTGTTTGGTAATTTGTGGCATCTGGTATAAGATGCTGTGGTGTGTAGCATCTCCTTCAGTACATGTGCATACAAGTGTATGTTTGTAGTGTATTGTAGTAGTAGTGTAGCATGCATCATGCATGTCGGTCCACACATTTATGTAGTATTATGAAGCTTGCTAACAGTCCACCAGATTGTTACAGTGTAAATGTAGCATTTATGGTGGAGCATCAGACTGTTGTAGTGCTATGTCTTGTGCATGTTGGGGTTTTGTAGTTGAGGGTTCCAGATGTAGATACATGTGGTTAATACAGACAGTTTGCTAATCAGGATAGGAAAACAATTAGCTGCCAACATGTGTTTACAAAGATCAACTTAGTTGTACTAGAATTATCACCCTGAAGTTTTGAACATTAATTTCTATGTAACTATTATTATGTTGTTGACAACAATGAATTATAAAAGATAACTGAAAGGTCAGTGAAGGGTCACACATAAAGAAAGAATGTCAACGTGAATGTACCTATGGCTCTCGTCACATGTTTCCAGCATATGTGACATCTGTATGAACTTGTGGTTGATATTGTGAATTATGATTTCAGGAGGAATCACTTGTTAACAATACCGTCTCAGTAAGTTTACCCATGCAGTGACATTTGTTTAACACTTTAGTTTTGGGCAGTCTACAAGACAATAGAGTAGATTTGATTTGTTTAACATTTTTGTGTACACCAGGCATCTAGAATAACATGGCTGCATGTTCCTTGTTCACCCTGTCCTTCCATCACCTTCTCTTTGTGCTGTTAAGATGTAGCTTCAGTGTCAGACTTCCTTGCCACTGAAAACTAGTAATATGTCACACACTGGGAAGAGCTATTGAAGGCTGGTCATGCCAAGTGTGCTTATATCATGTGACCTGTACAAACTAAGAACATGTATTTCATTTGAGCATCATTACCATACAACTGTCTTTACAAATGATCACATTGTAAACTTTTTATCTTTTATCTCTGTCTGCTTACAATTTATCCCTGTAAATATGTACAGAAACAACCATCAGTGGCTATCAAGTGTTCTTATAGTGTGGATGTACTGGGGTATTATTTTACATTGTTCATTCTACTATATGCCTAGAATTTGGCTCTGGTATTTTTGTTTACGTCAGTATAGCATGATACTGAGATGTATATATAGCTGTCATCTTTTGTGTGGATGCATATTAGCATGTTTGTATATGTGTACACTAGATATTTATTGAGTGTTGTAAACATTTTCTTGTGCTCTTTCATTTCTTTGTACCCCTTTTGTTTCTGCCTTTTCTTTATCATCCCATTTGAAGGTATTTATATTAAATACATATGATATTTTGATTTATAAATGTGTATTCTTTGTGAGACATCAGTTACTCATGGTGTGCTTTGAGTAGTTCTTAAGAATACATGTTACTGGGATCTTAGAGGAGTCCAAAGTGTTGCAATTTGCTGTGAAATTTAACAAAGATGTTTGGTCTTGGATGTGAGACTGACCCCTATTCTGGTCCCTGATTTGTCATTACCTAACATGTGTTCATAGTTTACACTTAATTGGTAAATGGCTCTGTGTCACCATTGACTCTTTATGTAGAGCTGACTCACCAACATATCAATGAAATACTTATAGAGAATGTTGTAACTCACCACTACATTATTGCCTCTTTGTAAGCTGCAGAAATTTATGCCATGTCGGTGATTCTATAGTAATGTTGAACCTTGTCTCTTTATCACACAAAGTATAATTTGGAGCAATGTTCTTTCTAATTGTCAGCATTTTCAGTTCAAATAAATTTATGAACTCTCTTAACTGAGTGGAATGTCTTGTATATTTCATGTGTGTAGGGGGTGCGATTTGTTTGGTTGTGTGTGTGTGTGTGTGTGTGTGTGTGTGTGTTTGTGTGTGTGTGTGTGTGTGTGTGTGTGTGTGAGAATAAGAAATCAGAATACTAAACAATATGGGATAGCCATTTCTTTCTCTGCATCCTGTTTGTAAACACCCACTTGTCAGTGATGACTATAATTGTAGAGTAGTCATGTTATAAGAAATCTAGGATTGATTTCTTTCTAAGTTTGTTTTTTGAATTGTTGAGGGAAGATCCCGCCTGGTATATGTCCTCAAACATTCGATGACCACATGCTCCCATTATTGATCTTACTGGAGCTTCCTGTGCATGATGGGAATATATAACCTCCTCCCAGACTGTAGCCATCCTCCTGACATTGTACTGGCTCCCCGTTCATGGAACAACTGTCACTCTCTCTCTCTCTTCTCTTGTCACTACTATGCTGGTAAGTTTTGGAGTGTGACATTCATTGTAATATACCCATGCTTTGTTTCAGGTATTCTTACATTTTGTCAATAAATCCAGGATATTGTTGGGGATATATAATCTGAATGTTTGAGAAATCTTCATACATAATGTACTGAGCAGTGTCATATTTTGATTCACTTGACAAAGAAGTACCAGAAAGAATTTTAAGAGGTTAAATCCTCTCCAAGTATGTTGGCCAACAAGGATGGTGTGCAGCTGGTTTAAGCAGAGTACTGATGAACTGTGTCTGTTTCAGAATCCGGAGATGACAAGAGCAAACTGACCAGCAGGAGATGGACACAGCATAAGACTAAACAGCATTTAGTGTCAGTCGACCAAGCAGCCAACGCACAGTCCGTGACATAGCCCCCAGGGCTTGTTATAGCATTGGACAGCAGTAGCATTACAATCAGGGAACTTCCATGTCTGACTTCCTCCCTTTCTAAGTCAACGCCCCCTCCCCCGAATTCGCACATATCAGCGTTTCATGTCAGCAGAGGTTTACACCTGTTTCAGTTGTCTTGGGATTTGGGTTTTCTTTCTTGTTTAACATCACATTCAGCAATATTCCAGCAACCGGTATATAGAATTCGTGTTGATTCATCAATATGACTCCAACATACAAGCAAAATCTGTTATTTATATATTAAGTTTCACTTATCAAATTTTCAGATACATTTATGTATGTATGAGATATGCTTATTTGTGGTGAAAGCCAGCTCAAAATGAAAATAAAAAATTAGACTGCATCGATGTCATAGATTTGAGAGTCAGTGCAAAAAGAAAACAGTACAAAAGGCTTCATCATTGTCACAGATTTGTTCTCCTAAGACAACTAAATTGCTCATAAATTAGCTGTATATAAGGCACCTAGAGATGGATACAGAACTGAAGCGTATTTACATGTATGACTATGTAAAAGATTTACTATTTTACTTGGGGTATGAACATAGTGTGTTTTCATTGTCAAGCAAGGTTTCCTGTGGAATTGAATTTTGAACAGTATCACTAAAATCAGATCTTACTGCTCACTACACAGTCAGTAGCAGTAGAGAGCACTAATAGTTGATTTTGCTGAGATTGGAATTTTGAATGGAACATGTAGAACAAATGTGTGTGTCTGTATGAATGTGTAGGTACAAGTCGTGTTCCACATCATTGAGACATCCTCCTGATGATGTCCACATCTCGTAGACATATCACCTCAGATAGTTTACATACAGCCACTGATTTATTGACTTGCCATATGTATTTATCTCCTGTTTAGTACAGTGGCTGAAGTGAGGAGGGTTTTTTTGGCTGACTTCTGTCTTTATTTGATCGGCTGCAGTATTTACTTACAATGGCCTGTCTTTAGTTTTGTGCGTAAGATAATTTGTTTACACCTTGAGGGTTTGTTTTAAGTGTATTTTGTCAGCATGGTGTATTGAAAGCTGATGGACATTGATGAGATTTGCATGCAAATTGGCAAACTCCATTGTCATCAAGAGATTGCTCAATGGACAAGATCACTCTAGAAACAGTGAATCTCAACACTATTATTTTAGTAGTTCTTCTCATTCAATGTTGGTGCATGTCTGAAGCTTCCATATGTTCCTCAATATGGCTGTTTAGCACCATGCAACACCATGTTTGAGAGCTCATTGAGTCAGAACATGCACTTCATGTTTGCCAGTTGAAATCAGCATGTATTCATCCTATTTCTTATTGAACAAGTTGAACATTCTAATACCTTTGGGGGTAAAAATGTTTATTTCTAGAGCTGCAGAATGTTTATGTGCACAGTTGTTTCCCCTCAGCCGTGGCAGGATGTGCTGCTTATGAATCCCAGATTCAGCCTGATTATGATGCTTGGTCAGTCAGCAAAACCTGTGATTGAAAGGTTAACATCTATGACGTACATCACTTTAAGTTTCCCTCTGAGGTCAATCTGCAATGCAGTGAATGAAATACTTTGATTGGGCAGTTCCATGTTAAATGCTTGTATGCATAGTGAAAAAGAAGTATAGACATGAAAGAAGAGAAATACTCTCATATCTGTCATTTGATTTACATTGTGTCAAGCTGAAGTAATTCAACCACTATAAACCTGAAACAGTTGCAGTTCCAGATGTCAAGAGTTGAGAATTCAACAGCTGATGGAATTGTGTTCCTACATTTCCTCATTGTTTAAGGTGTTCCCTTATCATTTAGATCTTGATAGTAGCACTTACAGCAGCAGCAGCAGCATCTGTTTATGCATAATTGGGTTCTATGTTTACAAGTTTTTCAATGTCTGTGAATGTCTGGTGAGTATCATGGAAATTTTAAAACTTATCCCATCTCACGACTTGCACCTATCTCTCTTGCTTCAACTTTTAGTGGAATGACTGTAAACTTTTTCCCATAGGCCTCCTTGTCCATTCGCCTGTGCACTCCATGCTGCTCTCCTTAATTAGCTTCCTAGTTCCTAATAAAGCTTGCAGCATGCTCCACTAATTGCCCACATGACTACCTTGAATGATCATTCTCTTTCTTGTCGCACAACTGTGGACGTGCTGTATATTAGGGACATTATTTCACCCTAACATCATAGGGAAAACTGATAATCAATCAAAGAAAAGGAAAGTTTGTGCTCAATGCATGACGAATTATTCGTCCCTCGACCCTCACTCGTCCTGCAGTGACTGTATTGGACAATGTAACTGGAACAAACGATGTGGCAAGTGTAATTCACTAAAAGATGAGGATTTTAAGGCCTACCTTCGTGTTTGCTCGAGGAGAATCGCCGATAGGGACAGGAAATCAACAGACTCTGATCCTTTTACGTACGCATCAATCACCTCCTTCCGTAGCATCAGATCACTCGCGGTGGTTGTGATCGACAATTCTTCGTTGCCTGTCCCATCTACACTACCAGGGGACCTTAGATCGAGACTATCATCATCCAGATCATCGGTACATATGCCCTCGACACCAAGTGGCCGGGCTGTGGTCATCCAACGAACGGGTACTTGATATAAACGAGCCAGAATTCAAGGCGGTAATTCAAGCCATCTCACATTGGGCAACAGAGCTTCAATCAACCAGTCTGTTGATCCAATCAGACAATTCGACAGTGGTTTGGTATATAAATCATCTAGGCTCGACAGGCTCGGCGAATCTGCTACAATGGGCGATCAGGTTCTTCCATCTCATCGACTCACTCAACATCGTAGCCAGAGCCAGACACATTCCGGGGTAAAACTGTGATCGCCGATGCCTTGTCCCGATCCAACTGACCATCCCCCCGACAGAGTGGAGGTTACTACCCCAAATCTTTCAGTCGATGATCTACCCGTTATCACGGCCTCAAATAGATCTGTTCGCCACAAGGTTCTACAACCAACTTCCAAAATTCGTATCACCAATCCCAGACTCCTTGGCGTGGGACCTCAACGCGTTGGCAATATCATGGGAGGATCTCAATGCCTATGCTTTCCCCCTTCCAGCTCTGCTACCAAAAGTAATACAGAAACTATTGGCCACCAGCAACATACTACTGCTTTTGGTCGCACCGTTCTGGCCAGCAAGAAGTTGGTTCGTCAACCTAAGAAGCCTGGCAGAGCCAAACACAGTACCGCTTCCCAACCGGGACGACCTACTTCTTCACCCTCACTCGGAACTGCGCCACGGATCACCTCAGACCCTCAATCTACACGTTTGGCACATCTTCAGAGGTCTCTCATAGCTAAGGGCTACTCTCATCGAGTACTATACTCTCATCGAGTAGCAACAGCTATCACTTCAGCGCATTGTACTTCGACCCGTTCCTTGTACGACAACAAGTGGAAGAAGTTTGAAGACTACTGCAAGCTTAGGGGAATTGCATCTCCCACTTCTACCTCGGCTAAGGTCGTTTCTCCAGCATCTCCGCACTACTAAGAAACTCAAGGGTACTACGTTAGCTACCTACTTAGCCGCCATCAACTTGGATTTGGCTACCACCACGGGCGCACAAAGATTTCCACTGTTCCCGAGTTGCAGAGTCTACTACGATCCTATAGACTCTCTGACCAGTCCAGGAAGTTCAGACCTCCGGCCTGGGATCTATCCGTCGTCCTTCGTCATATGATTTCTACAGATTATGAAGGCAAGGACTTGGAACAAGTGACATTCTTCCTGGTAGCTTTGGCTACTGCTGCTCGTATATCTGAACTGCATGCTCTTGATGTCAATCGGGTGCGGTTCGAGCGGAAGAAGCATGGCAAGGCTTTCCTGGGACTCCATTGTGAAAAACCAACTGCCAGGGCAACTGGACCGGATGTTTACCATTCCCTCGTTGTTTTGATTTGACACTCTGCCCTGTTAGGGTTCTACACGTTTACCTTGCTGCCTCCAAGGATCGTCGACCGCTACAGAAGCGCCTCTTCATACCCTTGTCGAACGCTTCAAGAACTGAGGTTTCCCGGACCACATTGGCCTTCTGGATGCGTGCCACGATCCTGCGAGCCTACACCTTTGCAGGGTTGCCTCCTCCAGTCGCTTCCAATCCTCATGAGACTCGTGCACTAGCCTCGACGATGGCCCTACATAGCAACTGCTCCTTGACCGCTATCATGGAAGGTTGCTTCTGGTGTTCTGATACAGTCTTCTCCTTACATTACCTGCGAGACCTGTCTGTTACGGATGTCCAGGGACTACACTAGTTCTGACCTCTTGTACTGGCTCAGCAACTTACATCGGCCCAACAACGCAGATGAGGGACGGTTCCGCATTCGCGTTACTACTTCCTTGTATATACTAAATAAAAGTTGAACTGGATCTCAACCTTTTGTTTTCATTATATGGGTTTAAGAACTACTTCACTTGGCCTCCATACCAAGGCATCGGAATACGGCCACCTAGCGTGGCCCTACGGACCTGAGGCCCAATCAGTATGACGATGCAGAGGTGTTCGACATTCACGCTTACTGACCTCTACACCACAGAGCAATTACGTCAGTGAAGTGTGACACTCCCGAATTCCAGTGGATTTTGTTGCGTTCTGCCTCCAAAGTTGTCGGGCACATCCTTTGACTAAGCTTAGGCAAAGGAGTGAGGGTCAATTTGATGCTGCCTGGAACTGAATGTTAAACCTTGGAGATGCCTAGTTGTGTTTCTGTTTCACCCGCCGCGGTCGGTGTCTGGGGGCCTTCTTGAAGCAGGGGCTGGCACAATTCTAGTCGCAAGACTTTAATTACGGGGGTACCTTGTAAATCGTAGCGAGGCTTACTTGCCGAGTTGCGTCCCTTGTCTTGTACATGGTTGCGGCCGAACACCACATCACTCGGGAGCACCCATCTCCCTGGGAATCGTTGTGCTTAGTAAGCCAAGGGGTTCCGGAGAACCCACTACAAGCATAGGAGTTGTGTGCATGTGTAACAGGCCTCCCTTGTACATCGCTATCTACGGTTGTCATCAGTCCACACAGCTCCAAAACCAGCTGTTCGCACTGTCCCGACAGAAGGGTAATCTGCGGCCCGCCGTCCAACAGTGGGATAAGTGCAAGTCGTGAGATAGGATAAGTTTAAAAATTTGGAAATTTTAATATAAATTGTATATTTATATACTTATCCTATCTCATGCGATGGATGCCCGCCTGGCCTCCCCACTACTCAGATTACGACGTTGGCTCCAAGATGAGAATGATCATTCAAGGTAGTCACGTGGGCAATTAGTGGAGCATGCTGCAAGCTTTATTAGGAACTAGGAAGCTAATTAAGGAGAGCAGCATGGAGTGCACGGGCGAATGGACAAGGAGGCCTATGGGAAAAGGTTTACAGTCATTCCACTCAAAGTCGAAGCAAGAGAAAGAGGTGCAAGTCGTGAGATAGGATAAGTATATAAATATACAATTTATATCAAATTTCCAATTTTGCTACATATCATAAGTAATTATATATTTTTGTCATTTTCATTATCACAGATCAGATATATATGTCACAGAAAAGGGTACTATTTATTCTAGATCATATGTTTAAGCCAGTGAATAAATGAAAATGGTGATAAAGTATTTCATCACCTGTTAATACAATGTGGATACTTTTTACTACGTGCTGTCATATGTTTTCTTAAGTTCTATTTTGTCATGTTATTGCTTTTGATGAAGGTCTTGATGCTGATCAGGGTTTTATCTTTTGTTTTAATACATTGAACTACCAAGGCAATATTTAGGGAGTTGTTTTACTTGTTTTCTCCAAGATTGTGTTTTTTCATAATCAATCTTTTTCTTATACCATGTTTTATAGAAAGTAACACAACTACAATTGTTTCGGCTTAAAAACTATCATAAAATATAACCATCATGATTTTGAATTTAAATCAATCTTATTTTTTTAATTCTTTGATTTTCATTTTTTTGTCATTAATTTCTATCTTTACCTGTAGGATGTTGAACAGTGATTATGATGCCAGTGTGAAACTTGAGTAAATATGATGCATGTGACATTTGGCAAAACAAAAAGAGAAACGAAAAGAAGAGCCAGTTAGAGTAGTCATTTCTGCTTTTACGTACAAGTGCAATATACTCCTCACTGCCAGTTAACTGAAGTGGTAGCGCAAGTGAAATGTGTTTGCTACAGAGCAGTATCCCTATTTTGTCATGTTTGGCCTGAAGGGAATGCAAACCCATGTCATCCTGTTTTTGTTCCATTTCCTTTGTTGGGTTTGGCGGAATGATCTACTAGTAACAGATACAAATATATTATTGTTACTCTTTGGCTGACCCAGCAGGTATTGTTTGTTGAGTAACTGACATGGAGTAATTTTCATTTCTGTTTACCAGGACTTGTGTTTTGCCCACTCAAATTCAACTGCTATGTTATACATCTTTAAGTTCAAAATTTGATCATAAAAATACATCTCACCAAGTGATTTCTTATGTTTATTTTGCCAGAAATATTGTTATGCAAACTCTGCATCAAGTTAAGAATATAAATTATATGGATGCCTTTGATCTATCCCTATATACTAGGTTTCTTTTAGTGATTAGAACAGGAGAATCTGTTCAACCCTTCAACTTACTGGCCTCCACATGTTTACGTGTAAAGTACCTCTGGAAGGTACATTGTTATGATTGTTATGGTTAAATAGCCTGAAATAAACATACTTGGAATAAATACAGGTTTTGTCGTTTGTGAAAACGAGTGTTTATATTTAGTGTTAGGGTGATTGTTAACCTAATGGTTAAAGCGTTCCCTTGTCACGCCAAAGACCCGGTGTAACAGGCCAAACTTTCCCCCTGGTCAAACCTTTCTCTCTCTCTCTTTTATACATAAATACAACAAATATTACATAATAAACAGCATCATAAGAGAGCAAGCAACCTGTGTATATTACATCTTATATCAAAAGTGCGATTGAATGTTTACATCTGATGGTTAGTGGTGGTCCGATTAATTGAAATAATTGAAGATTGGTCCCAATGACTAAACGACCAA